TTCTCATGATTTTTCCGGGAAATGTTTTTTCACTTTTTGGGCATTTTTTTTTTTTTTTTTTTTTTTTTTTTTGAAAAGCAAAAATTCCACCTCATGTGAGCAAAAAAAAAAGTAAAATTGAGGACCATTTTTAACACAATTCAAAAATCTGCATAAAAATACACTCAATACACAGCTGCTGTCTGAATGCATACTATTTCCACCAAAAAATGACCTCTCATACTTCCTGTTTACTCTCTAAACTACCTTAAATTCAGCTTAAACTGGACCTGTGGTTCCTTAAAATAGGTCTAAAGGACAAACAAAGCACTAAAGCCACATTTTTTAAAGAAAAGAAAAAAAAACAAAAAATAAATGCACCAAAGTGGAGAAATTGTAGTGAAAGAATCTGCATTTAGTCCAAGTACTGCCTTTGAATCAGGATGAGTCCAAGTTGGTCCAAATGCCATAATACCTTTGAAATGACCCTATCTCACTTGGAAGCAAATTTTGACTTTTACTTCCTGTTACTGCTACTTTTAAAACCCCCAAACTGTTTATAGGTCCCTATAAATAAAGTTGGCTTGGCTCGGCTTTTGTGGAACCTTCACATAATTACACATGACCATGATTAAAGTAAGTTTAGGTTTAATAATTTTTATTCAAGTGCTCAGAATGTTCTAGAAAATGCTGAGGGGGGAAAATGTAGAAATTTGAGTCTGGAAAATATGGAGTTATGTGATACAATTCACTAATTGTGAAGTTGAAGGAACATAATGCATGATTTTTTATTTTATTTTATTTTTTTTTTACCGTCTTCAGTAAATAAAAATCACCATTTGTTGGGTGGAGTTTTTCAGCCCAGTTTCTCATGACCAGAGTGCAGATTAAGGCTCATCCACACAGTGCGCCTTCGTCTTTCTTTCCTTCTCACACCTGCTTCATCTCCAGGTATTCGCCCAGCCGTCCAACGTCGCCATAACCAAGATGGACGTCAACAACCTGGCCATGGTGATGGCCCCCAACTGTCTCCGGTGCCACTCGGACGACCCGCGCATAATCTTCGAGAACACGCGCAAAGAGATGTCCTTCCTGCGGATGCTCATCGTCCACCTGGACACGGGGTTCATCGAGGGCGTGGTGTAGACACTGGAACGCCCAGAGCGCACAAACCGGTCACACATTGACGAACCAGCGGAGAAAAATAAATAAATAAAAAAATCAACACTGTCTCTGTTTAGGTCACACTGGAAACTTGAGGTGATGTTTTACAGCTCTTAGAACATGTGTGTGAATGCTTGTTTTTTTTGTTTTGTTGTTTCTTTGGTCCATTTCCAGAAAGATGCTTCAGTTCAGATTTCTATTTGTTTAACCGCAGCATGTGAAAACAGGTTAACGCTTTATTTCTAACTATAGGGCTACTACTACTGTTACAGCTTGGTCGAGCAAGGTGGGACTGAATCGAGATTCAAGATTGAAATTCTTCATTTGTAAAAAAGAAAAAATAATTTAAGCAGCTCAAACTTTTTTCCCCCCAGCTTTCAGGTTTTATTCATGTGTGATTTATCAGTGTGAACAGAAGACACCTTTGTTTTTGTTTTTTATTGTGTAACCCGAAAGTCAATTAAAAGAACTCTTGTAATCATGTCTTATTGATAGGTTTGCCTCAGCTCTTTTTATTGGTTGTACTGACGGCTGCTTTTGGGATCATTTCATTTAACAAAAACTAAAGAGAATTTTTTTTTTCCCCAAAATGGAACCTCTCACAAAGCCCGTTTATGCAATAATAAGTATTTTATTTGTCAGTCTTTCAGTTGGAATTGTTCTTTTTTTCTTTTTCTTTTTTTTAGCTCAGGTCCTACGGGGGGAAAAATGGGTGTTGGATGAATATCGCTGACTGAAATTCAGTTAAAAACACCTGCAGAGAAAAATGAAGTGTCAGTGAACTCTCTTAAAAATGTAAACTGAGCTGTTTGTAAATAAATTCTGTGTGGAAATTTGTACTAACCTTCCAGAAGTATATTCTGATTAACTGGGTTACGGGGTGGGATGGTTTGTGGGGATGGAAGAGGGTTTGGTTTCACTGTAAAGAGCAATAAAAAAAGAAGCGTAAGTGAGAGGCTGTGATTGACAGCTCGTTTTCCTGCTGTAACTGCTTGCCATTTTAACAAAAACCGATTCAAACCACTTTCGGCATATGTGTGTTTGCAGACTTTCTTCTCTGTAATGACTGACTATAAATAAAAGTTTGTTCATTTGTTGATAAAGTGGATTGTGGTCATGCTAAGATAAATTGGGGCAATGAGAGAGAGAAAATGTATATTTTTAATTCAACTATAATAAACTCCAAAAAAGTCCCAGCAGAGTGAATAAAACAAATTAGCTGAAAATTTTGAACTATGACCATAGCAACAGAATAATAGCTGAGAACTGTATTATTAATTTGTATTGTTAATAGTAATTAGCTTAGCACTGGTTTTTCTCACTTGCAACTGGGGCAAGTCAGAAAAACTTTCACATAAAAGTTTAAAAAACAACTGGAATGTTTCCGTGAAGATACAACACAAGATTTGGAAAGAAATTCCTCATCAACCATGATAATCAAAATCCAATATGGCGACTGCGTGTACTGCGCATCCAGACAGTATTATTCTCTTTTTCCTCTCCCTATAAGTTTTTAAACCATGACGGTTTTAAAAAGTTCATGATGACAAAGTAAAAACATGCTTTTAAACATTTATAGTATTTTTATGTAACGTTTAACTAGAACAGGTTCACAATAGCCCAAAAGATGACCTCTGTTCAGATGTTTCTCTAACTTGAGTGCTGTCCATCTGGATGAACTTTAGAGACCAGACTGTTCATCCACAAAGGTTTCTGACAGAACTGCATGTCTCAAAAATGCTTGCGGTCTCTTTTATGGATCGAAACATGAAGTTGGATGTGACGTCATTCTGAAATCCTAGTTCCTGTTTCAGAGGCACAGTGAATGCACCACATGTTATCAATGAATTGCCTGCAGCAACCTTGACTTTTAGGCTTTAATTGTTCTACTTTAATGTCTTTCCACATCAGCCCCATGAGTCATTTTCTACATGACACCACTTCCTGCAGCATGGGAGCTGTTCCATTAGAAGGCCATGCATTATTAATACATCCTGACAGAATTTAATGGATTAATTGAGTAAGGATCCATTTTCTCTATTCTAGTCAGTGAAGAGAAAAAGAAAAGTTAAATGATTGCCATTTCCTTCCAGAACAACCAGCTTTGTTAATTTACTTCGCAGAATTTCTGAATTCAACTATTCAACTTCCTGAGGCTATTTGATGTAAATTATCTACAGTCATTCACTCGCTGCTTTAATTTGAACCAATATCAACTCTTTCTTCAAAGAAAACTGAAATTACAGAGCATTTTCAAAAATAAAGGACTATAATATTCCTCTTGTTTTCTCCACAATTCTAGAGAGTTAAAATATATTTCAAAGTAGAAAAAATGTATCAAAAAAAAACAACTCAGTGATTATCTTTCTGCTTCATGGCAGTGCGTTGCTTTTATGTTCACAGGCCAGCAGGGGGGGCACGAGAGCATGTTCTCTCATTGAGGAAAATATTAAAACTAGCATTAGCATTTTTCAAACATATATTTCAAAATGTAAATTTCTTTAGTATTGAAGTTGTAGCATAAAAAATGTAACACGTTTTACAGTTAGCAGTCATTTACTGTTGCTAATTTAAAATAATTTCTGATGGTTTCGAGGTAAATTTCATTGTGATATCAAATGTAACGGCATATTAATCAGTAAGAAACAATTTGTACTGACTTCCTACTTTAACCGAGTCTTTTCTTAAATGCTGAACTCCCCATACAAATTACAGACATAGTCTAGAACCACGATTCCACAATTTATCTACGACTTTTATTTGAATAAATTATTTGATTTGGCCCCAACTCTACTTCTGCTTCGGGCTCATACAATATTTGGCCGACACTGCATATGGAGATGGCATTTGGACTTCAGAGTTTCCTTGTTTGTGAATATTAAGCTTGTTTATTTTCCAAATAAAGGAACAACCGTATCTATCTAAATAATTAAATTACCAAGAGTTCAGTTTGTGGTTCACGCATGCGCACTGTGCTTTTACACTACCCGCGCCGGTGGTAAATGCAAGCGAGAGAAATTCAACTGCGTGGTTTGGAGCAGACAGGCGGAGGCGGCTGTATCTGCGCAGTCAAGGGATTGCAGGCTACATTTTTCGCTCAACCTGACACATAGTGACTGGAGAACAGGTAAGAGGCTTAAATCCTCTTAGTATGGCGCATCTCCGAGTTTATATCGCCGTAAATGAGGCCCTGTTTGTGGCTGCATCACACACTTGGTATGATGCCGCATGTCGGCTTGGAGAGTTCAAAACAAACGTGACGAAGTAAATAATTGAATGTCCTCTAAGTACATTTGTTTGCTCTTTATTTATGAGTTCACCCTTCTATATTTCGGCGTACGTTTCTTGTTACTGACTGAGCAGTCGTAGATATGAGTGCGGTGTCCCAGTTGGAGAAGTTTACTGTTTTGCATTTGCACGCCGCTCGTTCGCGGTTGGAAAAGTACGAGGAGGTAGGCCTTAGCGCGAGGCCACGGAGAGCCCACCCTGTGACTGACAACTGCGCGTCCAATCGCCAGCGAGCTACAGCGAGCACCCGCCCACGCTACACCGACTCGACCAATCACGTTTCTCTAAACCACTGACGTACAGCTGGTTTGTCTCTTGCTGCGCCCTGTGGTTATAAAACACCGGACAATAAAGTGCCAGCAGCGGTGGAAGTGGTCAACAATGGCTTACCTGGAAATTAAGCACGTGTTCGCGTTGTATCAGTTTAAATAAAAGCTGAAACCTGTCCACGTATGTAGTTCTTTCGTATAAAGAAGACTGTGTTCGCACCAAGTAACCTTTCCCCTGCTTAAATCTTAACTAATATGTAAATTGATGTTTACACAACATATATGCTAAGCTCTCACCTTTTAAACCTCCAATAATCGGAGCCTCTGACCCAGTTTTGGCATCTTAACCCCGGCTTCCTCCCTCCCTGCCTGCCTGTCTTGTCATCTTTGGCTCTCTACAGGCCATAAAAACAAACGGGTCAATTTTTAAATATTGTATTCCACAGGCTGGATCACTATCCATGTTTTTTTGACGTCGTGCTCTGAATTTTAGCTGCCACACGAGGATGACCACGGCAGTCTTTGTCTCCTATTGTGTCTGTTAGGCGAAATCGAAACACACGTGGGCCGGGGAGTGGGGAGATATCCGGTTTGTAGGTTGCAGTGTGTTGCATTGATGAAAGCCAGCTAACACCTCCACTATGGCGAACCTCATCAGGCGGCTGAACGCGGGAGAGAAGTAAGATGCTGCCGGCATTTTTTTTTAAATGTTTATCGTTGCTTATTAGTAAAAGGGCGCCGGTATGTCAGCGTGTCCGCCGTGCTTTTTTATGTTTAACAAAAGAAGCTCTGTTAGCGGAGGAGGGATGATGCGGTTGCCTTTTTTTCGCCCTCCTCCCTTTAACGACTGAATGAATCTCCTTTCATTTAGGCCTTTCTTAAAACCGAAGCCGACAGCATTAGAAACGTGTACATGTGAAACAATCAGAGTGGGATTTAACGGAGCGTGCGGTGAAATCGATGCGGGAATCAGCTTGGCGCATGATTGCTTCCTGCTGGCTTTTATTGGAGCGGGCGGTCAAAATGGTCAGTCTTTAGTCGTTTTATGTCTTCTCCAGAAATGGGGAGTGAATATTTCTCTGGTATAGTAGTTTTTTTTTTCTTCTTTTATTGTTGGGTTTTTCTTCAAATGTCACACATGCTCATTTGAATATCTCGTCGCTGGACATATTCACCATCATTTCAGGGGCATGGCTCACCTCACTAGTCCAGTTTTCATCACCCTGTTCATAGTAGAGCGACTAGATCAGGGATTTCCAGGCTGAAGCCAGTCTCCACTTCTCATTGAGGTCTGACCTGCTATTCAGATTTGTACCGATTCTCTTGTTAGAAGGAATGTAACGCATAAAAAAATCCTCCTACAGGTTATTTGATAGAAGTATTGCAATTTAATCTGACAGCAATGGAAGAAATGACAAGAGTACCCTCAGCTGTGTATCAAAACGTGTGTCCGTAACCTTGATCTGATTTATTTTCTGGTCAGTGTGACATTCTAATAACAAAACCTATAGCTCTAAGTCCTGATCTATGCATGCTGCTACATTTCCAATAATATCC